TTTTAGACATTTAACTGCAATTATATATTTCATGTTACATAAAAGATCCTTAAGTCTTGAAGGATTAAAACGTTTATATTCTTTTCGCTTGCCACTTCTCCCTCATTATAGAGGTAATTATGGCTTATGAGCTCACATGTGGTATGTTTTAATCTCTGGGAATCTTGGACCCGATTTGGGTGTACTCCTCTGCAGAAGTTCACTGCTCCTGTCCAGCACCCTTGGAGGCTACAAACACATACCACTTGAATTCATCAGGCTGGAGTTCCCAGACGCTACAGACAATGAGAATTGAAACCATAATTTACGCCAGAAGTGCACTCAGTTACAAATAAGGGGAGACTGGTTTTTTCCTCTAGATAGGACAAAGTCAAGAGATACCATATTAACCTGAAGATAAAGAGGTTTTGTTCCTTGTCCCCTTTACAATGCTGGCTCAATGTCAACCTTACCTCTCACCTGGGAAGATTGCATAAGGGCTTGTTTCTTGTCGCCACGGGGATCCCCATGAATCGCTAAGACCTCAGGGCACCCTTAAAATCAATTTTGGGGAGTTAAAAGGGCCTCTGTTGTGTTGTACTCAGATAAAGATTTCTTATATAAGGAGAAGGTTGGTTGGTTTGTTTTCAGTTTATTAATTTAGTGATATTACTCTGAGTGCTTATTTACGTTCTAAAGAGATGATATAAAATACTCCACGGTCTTTAAGAAAAACAAAATATATTCAATAAATGGAACAAAGAATAAAAATATTTTTAGTTCTACAATATGACCTGTTACTAACTGACATTCATACTGTGTTATGAAAGAAGATGAAATGCAGACATGAAAGAAAAAAGCATAAGTAAGAGAAATAGAAATAAGCAGTATCAGAGAACTATCCAACAGAAAAAAAATAATTCTGGAGATGGACAAGAATGGACCTACCCAAAGAAGGGGCTACACCCAGAAGCAAACAAAGAATTGGAAGAGAGCAGCCTTTGACTTTCATAGAATAAAGGCAGAACAACCAATATTGAGTAGCTTTTTAAAAGAGCTGCTGAAGAATTTCTTTCAAACACAATGCCATTCTTCCAGAAGAGCCCTCAAAATGGGAAATGAAACCTGTGCAGCCAGTTTAACTTGCAGCCATGGTTTTCCTACAGTTGGTCCAAGGTAATTTAAGAAATCACTTATCAGACAGCCTCATATCACTAGAGTTTCTGTCCCCCTTATGTTTCAAAATTTCAGGCAATTCTTAATTTAGAGGTTATAAAGATTAAAAGTTCTTGTAGATAAATCACCACTCATCACACTGGGCCTTTTGGCATATGTATTTGCTTTATAAACTCATGGCTTCGGGGCACAACTAAAGCAAACTCTACTCGTATGCAGCATTTTTTATAAAATCAAAATTTGGGAAGTTGACCACTTGTAAATTATGTTACCTGCAAGTACCATTCCCCCAAAGGAACAACTTTTCTTGCGTTTTTTAAAGACAAAACTGAAAGAACCTTAGTACTTTTACTCCAACATACAGACACATATATTTTCACTGTGTAAAAAAGCTAATCACTTAAAATTCAGAGTTCTTGGATAAATATTCAATAATACCAAATATTTTATTTCCCGATAAAACTGAACTAAAATAAAATCTAAGTTCCTTTTCCTGAAGAGCAGACAAGACTACATTGGTTTTTAATTTGTAATCTTAAAAACCATGAAAAGTTAAGGCAGGGCTTTTTTTCCTACATTCAGTCCAAGTCCATTAAGCCTTTGACTTAATAACGTATGATCATTTATTCTCTGAAATGATCAGTAAGTTGTGAGCTCCCAAGGGTCATTCAAGCCCAGGAACCCTGCATTTAAAATTATGTGTTCCAAGAAAGAATCTGAATGAGGTATTTCCTAAACCATAGTAGCTCTTAAAAACACACACACAAAAAAAACAAAAACACAAAAAAACAAAACAACCCCCCCACACACACACCAAACCCAACCATTAGATGAGAGTGCATTCATTTGTCACAGCTGCAGCATCTCATCATAGACTTTCCCACAAGCAGCAGAACCAATGATATAAATGCTTCCTTCAAAATCTCCCCAAATTAATCAAAGATAACCTGGAAATAAACTTGTTTCCAAAGGATGAGTTTCTGTTGGTTCTTCACAAAAAAATATTTTCTGACTAGTTGTAAATGTGAGAAAGGCTACTTGATGGGTATGATAAAGAAACTCCCAAAGGAGATGTATTTTCTCCATTCCTACACTAGGCCAGAATTCAAATGCATTGTCTGAATTTTTACTTTAGAGCATCCAACTATTGATTCCAAGTCTTATCTTTGTCTCCTACTGATGAAAGCACCTGCCTCTTCTTGTCTCAGGAGCTAGACAGGAAAGTATTTCATAGGCTTATTAACAAATTTTAAAAAGGCCCAAAAGGTTTACAAAAATTCAAACTGGAAACTCAGGACAAGCCCGACATTTACTCCAGGTTGTGATACTTTCTGCCTTTTCTTAAGAACCGTGTGCAGAATTTGAGCACCACCGCTAGGTTTCACTGCTTCACAGCCAGGGTCTCCTAGATGTACAGGAGTATATGGTCCTTTCCCTCTTGTGGGCGCTCAAGGCCTGATAGTCTGATGTCCAGCCCTCAAGAGCCTGCACAGCCCTGGGACACAGAGAACAAGGCACACCGGCTCCCCTCACTAAGGCTGGCTTCCATTGGATTCTGAACCCTATACAATGAAGGGCCCCCATCTCATTCTCCCACTTTCCCTACTGGAAGAATCAGAAAGAGACGCCTCTTGGTCTTGGGCACAATAACTGAGTAGGCAATTCTCTGACCTTGCTCTGCATCAGTAAAAAGAAAACTAATAAAAAGGAAAAAAAAGTGAAAAATTCCTAGTGCTGGGTAGAACAGCAGGCTGATTTCAAGTCTGTCACACAGATATATGACATGAGAGCATCTGAAAAAACAAAACAAAACAAAACAAAACAAAACCACAATGTCCCTTGGAACATCTTCATTTCCCATTCCATCTACATTTTGGAATTCTGCTCTCTACTACTCTTCCATGTAAGCTGAGCAAATATGTAGGATGGTTTCTTTGGGAAGAAGAAACATACAATTACTTATTATCAGCTAGAAATGCAAAAAATCACACCCAGCCCCAGGAGTCTGCTGCTCTCATGAAGGAGGTCCTCATCGTGACATAGGCTTCTTGTCCATTTTTCATTTGGGCAACTTTTCACTTCTCACACTTGTCCAACCGGAAGAACCACCTGTGGGGCTTGTTGAAAATTCAGATTCTATTGCTCCATCCTAACCCAGGGCTCTGCTCCTTTAGCAAGCTGTAGGTAATTCTTATGATGAGGTTCACTTTGAAGAACACTGACCTTGGGACTATGCTCTTTGCTAAAAAAAAATTCTATTCCTAATTTTTCCTTTATGAGTCCCCAAGGAAGTGGTATATTGATTAAAAGTACTATGAACTGCACATATAGATAGAACCAGTCCACTTTGCAGGCTAGCCTTTTAGAATGGCCAAATAATGTAGGAAAGTAAACTAGCAGCTCCTAATTGTTAATCATTAGGCTGAGGGTTGGTGAGTCTAAGCCACTATCTTAAGAAGATGAGGTTCCCTAAGTTTCAATTATTTGAGGCATTATCCTACTTTACAGCAATAGACTGTGCAAAGGGCTGGTCTCATCTAGCATGTGCTCATCAAAGACCTGTACAGACTGAAATGGTTAGGTCAAAATGTCAAAAATATAATGCAAAATCAGGAAGAACTACTGGAGAATGGCATCAAAAGAAACCAAAGTGGACCAGGAGGCATGGGTTTCTTTCACCAGGCTAGATCCTGCATGTAGCACAGAACAAGGCACATGGAAGGCATTTAATACATGGCTGGTGAGTGCAAGAATGGTCAACGAATGAATGGGGTATATGCCCGTGATACAAACAGAAATGACATTCCATGATTCAGCAGCATCTTCAGGAAAGAGAAAAGTGTCGTTTAACATTTCTATAAATTACCTGGTAGAAAACCGTTACCAGCCTCTCATCTAAATAATGAATTGATTTTTCAAAACAGGAAATGGCAAATCCTGAGAAGCCCACAGAAGCACAAAAAGTAAAGAGAAAAAAAGAGAAGGGAACGAGGACTCCGGAGGGGGTGCCGCAGGAGTACTAAAATCTGAGACAAGCAGCTCAGGGGACAGTAGCACACAATGTCTTGGCAATGCTCCTCCCCAGGTAGACTGGGCGCCGGAAACCTCGTATAGCACACGTGAACGTGAGTGACAAATTCACCAGAACCACAACAGAACAAGGAAGGAGAGGGGAGCTCAGATAGAGGGGAAGCCAAAAAGCCGGGGAAACAGAATGAAGAAGAGTGGAGGGAACATGCAACGTGTCATGCAGGGACCTTGGTGGGAACAACTGGGTGCCAGGCAACACTCAGTGAGCACAGAGGACGAGTGAAGGCGAGACACACCTCAATCACAAAAACAAACCGCTTACCCTCTGCTTTAGTGGAAGTACCATCTTTAAGCAAATTAAAAAACAAGGGAAGGGATAACAGGGAACAGTTAGTAACAGTAAAAAAATTAAAAAGCAGAATGTTATTAGCTACTAAAAAAGCAAAAGTACAATTTAAAATAAAATTAAAAAAGAAGTTCAACAGCAAAGCAGATTCTGAAGCGAATAAGTGTGCCTTGTATTAAAATTGGCCTAGTGTCATGTCACTTTTGGAAAACAGAATGAAACATGACAACCCAGGGTAGGGCCTCCGTTGGTACACTGTTGATTTTTGTTTTAGCCAACCCTCATCCTCTTCAGAGTTTCGTTTTCTTAGAACCAAGTACCAGCAGCGTACAGGAGGAGAAACCAGAAGCTAAAGTACTAAAGAATCACCCAAAGAACAGAGGCAAATAGGAAGCTAAGAGAAGCTAGCTCTAGCAATGACGCCTATCCCAACTACATGGTGCGCAGCAGAAGCTGTACAGCTGGGTACCTGCTTCAAGGCCTACGGACTCCGTATCTTCCCTCACGTGTCTGGATTCTAGAAGTTCGGAAAAGGATCGTCAGCTTTAATGCTACACTTCTGCACAGATGTAATGTGCCCAACCTAAGCAGTAATTGTAACAACCTCTCAGTAGGATTACGTTAAATTTCCAGGGTTTTTTGTTGTTTCGTGGTTTGGGACATGAGGCAAGTAGGGGTAGATGCTCTCTCAGGAAATGCTGAGAGAATGGGAATATTCCAGTCCTGTCACCTCAAGAACTAATGCCGGGCTGAAATTTATCTTCAGTGTTTTAAGAGGTCAATTCTGTATCATCAGACCAAAAGACCTGAGTGCTTTTCCTAGCACTGAGGGAAATCTACATGGTCCATATTAAAATATCCCAAATATGCACAGAAAAACAAAGACTACTACCGAGTCCTCTAAAAGATGGTTTTTACTCAAGCTTTCAAGCAATGAAACAAATACTGATCACAAACACTCAAGGTGGGTCAAATGTATTGAAACATGGGTACATACTTAAAACTGACCTGAAATGAACAGAGCTACTACTCTACCCTGGGACAGAGTCATTCTGACTTCCCCCTTACTGGATGACTACATACCAACCTAACGTTATAAACGTTCCAGTGTGATGTTACAGTAGTAAAATGGAAGAAAGGGGGAACACTTATTGGGTTTCCTTCCAATCAAAAGGTACCTGTGTTTGAGGTATTTCCCTAGAGAAAACAAGGCTGACTTAACAAACATTCCAGAATACATGCCTCTCATGTTGTAATGTTCCTGGCACGATCCATTTTTTCACCTTATAGGATAAGAGTTTACAAAAGACTTTTATATCATTTCATTTATCCCCTGCATGTGTCTGAGCTGGGTGACATTTATCACAACTAATTAGGTAGAGAAACAGCTTCAGGGACTGCATGGCCCAGTCAGGGTCATCAAGCTAATCAACGGCAGACCAGTAATCTCCTGGTGATTTCTCATTGGGCTTCCATGCTCAGAACATTAGTTTCAGAAATGACTTTGGAATTGCTTTGTAAACCACATAAGCAATCCAGTCTCAATGTTCCATGAAGTTTAAATTATATGTATTCAATTTCCATAAAATCCAAAATAAAACAAATCCAGCAAAGTCCCCAGATTTTGGCTTGAACGAGTTTGCTCTAACAAAAATAAGATGAAATAAGTAAGATCAGCCTTACATACAGATTGTTCAGCTGTCTGCTGAAAAACTGAGAAACTGACCACCATTCTGGCAGATAGGACTTCTTTTAAAAATAATTTTAAAAAATTCTTTGGGCTACTATGTAAGTACACTCTCCTTCCATGGTACCCATGGAAGACCAACACTATTCTGTGGAATATGGTTATGCTGGCCAGTGGATCCGCCACATTTCTCGAGATGTCCCTTTTTGGGGACCCTCCATCCCGCACCTTGGCCACCCCAATAATATTTTCAAATTGTGAAAACCTAACTACCAATGACTCTTTGGTGATTCCCTCACTAAACCCTTTGACCCTGCCCCCACGGATGTCACAAGGGGGGAAAGCCAGCTTTGGCAATATGGGAGGTAGCATAGGTGCTGGTTGGGTTGCCATGAAGGGGGAAGTGAAGTAGAAGGATATGACACATCATGTGAGCATCCAGGTACTTACTTGTCACTAAAAAGGATTATGCTCCAGAGAAAGGGAACACTTAACAAAGGGTGTGTGGCTGGTAATCAGCAGTAAATGCACTGAGCTATTTATACATAAATATCAGCCCTGTAACAGTGAGAATTTCCTCAATGATTGTGTTTTAGAATTTGCTAAATAAATCTGAGCAGGGCTAAGAATAATCTCGAACACCAGGACTGGGGGGAAAGGTGGTAGGGAGTCTGGTTACCTAAGGATGCATATGACCCCGGAGGCAAGGCTGCTGCAGAGCTGAAAGGCGTAGTACCCGAGGCTGAGGACACCTTGGACTTGGCACTGGCTGCTGCGTTCACATCAATATCACTTCGAGATCGCTGGAGGGATCCAGTCGTTGACACAGATTTGGTACTAACTGTAGAAGCTTGAGAAGGAAAGGTGGAAACATCAGCAGGGACTATGCTAGAATTGTATACATACATTGTTAAAACTTGTTTTGCTTTTCTTATCAAGTTGTTTTTCTTTTTCTTTTTTTATTAAAAAGTAGCCTCCATGCCCAGCATGGAGCCCAACACAGGGCTTAAACTCACATCCCTGACACTGAGACTTGAGCCAAGATCAAGTTAGGATACTTAACCATCTAGGTGCTCCTTCTTATTAGGTTTTAACAAAGGTTGGCATGCATAAGCAAGGACATGCTGAAGACAAAGATTAGCCAATGCTGAAGTGACCACAACCAGACACACCCATTCCATTGTTTTCTTGTAATCAAAGACTATAAATGCCAAAGAAATGGTCCCTCTTTCCGATGAATGTGAGAAGTTAGGTAATGAAAAAGCGCACAGATCTGTCCAGTTTCTACATAATGTGGCCTAAGCACGCGCCCTGACTCTGATGCCTTCTGCTCCCAGGGAGCATTCTACTGTCTGATCTCTGACTGAGAGCATCCTCAGAGCATCACCAGTTGTCCTCATTCTCTTATCTAGTGACCAGAGCCAAGGAGAGGCACTATTTGAGTAGAAAGGTCCCAGGGCTCCACTTCTGCCTGCCTAAGGCACCCTGGTTGTGTGTTCCTCATTGCCCTTGGCCCCTGGGGCAATGGAGTTCTGCCACTGGGCACAGCTGCAGCACCCAGAGCAGCATGTTCTGCAAACCTGAGGGGGGGCCTAAAAGCAGGTCAACAGCTTCTAGCAACTTAGCAGCCCCTGGGAGCAGCACAGAAACAGAGGCCTCCCCAAGACTGCCTTCACCACAGCAGCCAGTCTTACCTCTAGAGGTGGTGCTTCCAGTAGGACTTCTTTTGGCAGAGAGTGGCCGGCTGAAAATAAAAGTATACCTGTGTTTATTATAATCAAACATGCACTTCATCTGCATTCACACCAGTACACTCTACAAGAGGAAACTAGGATGATGATGATGAACTTATTTCAGAGTTTTCAGAATGTATCAGGTAACTAAGACCACAATCTTACAAATCCTTGATTCCAGACTAAGCTTTAGGATTATGTATTGGCCTATCTTCCAAATGTACAAAGAGAAGTCATAACTCAAGGCAGAAGTTAGAAATCAAGAGTGAAGACGATACATTTATGTCCAAGTTCCTAACACCTTCCCCCTCTCCAGACTTGTCTCTAAGTCAACAATCATACTTTCTCAGAAACCGAGGCCATCTATTCCTTACCATTTCCCCCAGTATCTCACCTAGCAGCAGGTGAGATTTGCCCCCCATCTGAAGTAAGAAGGGATTAAAACAGGCCCATAAACCAAAAAAACCCAGCTGGGATTGTGTTCTCATATAGCAAACTCCCAACATAAAATCTCACACGAATGAAAATCACAGCTGAAGTGCTTACTTCAGACTCTCCTGAGAGCTTGAGGATGAGCGGTCGGACTGCGGCAGCGATACGATGCTGTCCGAGTTCTTTAGGTGGGACTGTAGGGCTTTCTGGTAGGATGACTCGAGGGTGTGGTACAAGTGCTCTGCTTCTCTGCTGAAGTGACTGTGAAAACCCCAGTAGCACCTAGGGGAGACACAAAGCTTGTCGTATAGCCAGGACTGCACGGGGGCTCACAGAGCTCTGCGGCCCACCACAGAACATTCAAGGACTGCAACCCTCAGCTTACTGCCACTAGGAACAGGACAGGGTAAGGGAGAGAGGGTCTAAGGAGGCCTGGAAGAGATCCTCAGCACACAACTTTCTGGCTTTTGTGACACTGGGCAAGCTACCAGACATCTCTGTATCCCAGTCTCACTTATAAAATGGAAATGAGGGACGCCTGGGTGGCTCAGCGGCTGAGCATTTGCCTTTGGCTCAGGGTGTGATCCAAGAGCTCTGGGATCAGAGTTCCCTGCATGGAGCCTGCTTCTCCCTCTGCCTGAGTCTCTGCCTCTCTCTCTCTTTCTGTGTCTCTCATAAATAAATAAAAACAAAATCTTTTAAAAATAAATAAATAAATAAAATGGAAATGAAAGGGCTGAACTTACGAGACTGGGGAGCCTTCGGGACGAGGGAGCTAAAACACCTAAAAGTAGACTCAGAACATGGAAGGGGACTCATCAGTGGCAGCTTTTATAAAAGCAATTTGACACTCATCGATTTGAAGTATTTACAGTTGCCTTAGATAACATATACAACAGAGGCACAAAGAGGTTCCGAGCTACTTGAAACCTGTTTGCAGCACGACTAAAGAACCAGAAAAAATGGGGAAGCAGGAGAATACATATAAGGATAAAAACAGCTTAAGCACATGACTAATGAATCCATTCCTAAGAGTTGTGAGCATCTATCAGCTATGTCACTTATTTTGGTAGGAACTACCCAAGCTGGGACTGTGGTAACCACTTCAGTGCTTCGATGAGGTCCTCTGAAAACCTCAGAAACCCGGGGAATAGAATGTAACCGAGATCGCAGTCCAAGAGCAACAGGGACTTGATCAGAAGGTATCAGTGCAGCTAAGTAAAACAGGAATAGTCGGAAGAGAGGCTACTTGTGTCAAGTAGAAGAGCTGGTCGCTATGAAAGCACAGGAAAAACCACTACAGGTGCCAAATTCATAGCGCTTATCTACACATTGCCCAAGACAGAATAAGTTTCAGCATCTTTGACTCCTGGTATTTACAGTCACGATGACAAAATTATTCTTCAGGAGGCATGGAATGCATGGTCACAGCTATGTGACTGGAGCATGAGCAGCCCTAACGGCAAAACTGCCACAAACGTGGTGTGGCACCTGCAAGTTACCACTGTGGTAATTGCCAGCAGCACATCAACTCATCTGCCCCTCACCACATTCACACTTCTTCACACCTGAAGCTGGCAGCGATGTCATCACATGGGAAGGATCCCTGGGACTGTGATTTTTCACAGGGAATCAAAAGGTCCCTTTGGATTATGACCTGGCTTTTAACAAAGCCTAATGAGTAAGAAAATGCACTGAGTGTACATACAAGTGCTTTTCTGATTCATGTAATAATTTCTCATAAATTTAAAAATGAATATTCTGCTGTAGACTTTAGTCCTATTTACATTCAAATGCTATCAATCAGTTCTTCAGGCCTGGGCACCTGAACAATCTTCTCAGCAGAAAAATAAAGAAATCTCAGCAGAAAAATAAAGAAATAACAAGACCTGGCCTTTTGAGGTCATGTTTTCAAAGTCACAATTAATGAAACATGTTCGTATAACTTAATGAGTTTTTAATAAGGCAATCTAAACAACACGCCTGAAATTTAAAAACAGTGCATGAAAAACAAGTGGTGTACAATAAATACTTACTTTCTGGCTTCTATCCTTGCTTCGGAATCTGCATCATGTATTCCCTTCTTTATTGTTTCGGCTAATACTGATATATGTCTAGGAATTCAGAAAAGAAAGCAGTAACAATCATTATTAACATGTGGTGTTTTATGCGGATGAAAACAGGTGTGAGCACTTCAAAATAGCATCATGGAATCCAGAGCCTTTGTGTCCAGTGAGTCAACCAACACACAGCTGAGAAATCAGAGCACTCCCTTATACCCCCTGTGCTATTCTCGTAACTTCTACCTTGGTCCTGGCCCACCCCCTATCCTCCATCAGCTAACCCCACCTAAGTACCCTGAGTTTTTAAAATAATGGCTGATTCTTCTCACATCATCCTTATTTAGTTCAACCTTTTAGGAACCCAAAAAACAAGACCCTACTTTTTCCATGGCCAGCACTAGTTTCTATGAAAATTATGAGGTAATAATCATCAGAATACTGAAACAGCTACCTGAATCACATTTCTGTAATTAAACATAATGTTTTTATTCAAGTTCCACTATGTAACATGAACAAATTTATAAAATCGTGTCACAATTTTATCAACAGATATTCTCTTTAGTTATGTTCTGCCCTGAGAAGAAATTATTAAAAGTATCTCTTTGAATACTTAACAGATTTTTAAGAAAAGAAATAAGGATGCAAAGAGTCTCCCAGAACAGAGCAGTCACTAATTTTATGGCCCCTTCAGTCTTTGCCTCATTCCTTCCTGTTTAGCAAGTACCTGCCAAGTGGTAGATGGGATGCTGAGCAAAGAAAGGAATGAATGAATACACAAGGTGACATCTCAGTTCTTCACACACGTATCTTCACGTTAAGTCTCCCACTCCATTTTACACCTCTAAATTCCAAAACTATCACAAATAGAGAGTACAATATCCGAGACGAAAAAATGCATGACTCTCTTCTAGATTCAAGGTTTTGCAGATGAAATTTTACCCCTGAGAGGCAGAGCTTTGTGTCCTCTCCAACCCCTGCAGTATGAACAGGACTCCCAGAAGCACTTCATTAGAATTCTACTAATAAAATGATTAGGATGCTGTGAAGTTCCTCACAATACGTAACAATAAAAACTGGGTGGCACAATAGCATCATCTATTCTCTCCAAATTTAACTCACAAATAACAAGCATCTCAAATTCAAAGGAACTAAAAATGGCAACGAATGAATCTCAAAATTAATAGATGTGCTTTTGCAAGCATGCTGCCATAATCCTACCTTTTATCATGATGATGTCAAACATACCAACACCAACCTGAATAAAAAAAAAAATGCTAACTTTCTGATATAGGGGGATCAAAAAGAAAACTTTGAGATGAGCGAAACTCCTCGAAGGATCTAAGAGTTAATCCCGGCCTACCAAGAGCAGCTTGAAACCTTTTCCTAGTTGGAACTGACAGGGATGTCAGGCAGTACAATGAGCCTAACTCTGGGAAATGAACAAAGGGTTGAAGAAGGGGAGGAGGGTGTGGAGGGATGGGGTAACTGGGTGACAGGCACTCAGGAGGGCACTTGATGGGATGAGCACTGGGTATTATACAAGATGTTGGTAAATCGAACTTCAATTTAAAAAAGGAGAGTCAAGGGGAGTTCATTGTGGTGTACTTCCAGGACAGGTGGCAGAGGAAGAGGATCCTAAACTCACCCCCTCCCACAGGTATAACTAGGTATCACCCACATCAGTGTAAATAGCCCAGAACAGCACTTGAAGATTGGCAGACTGGACTCTGCATAGCTAAGTCTAGAGAGGAGGCCACAATGAAGAAGGTAGGAAGGGCACAGATGTGGTCAGGAGCTAGATGAGCCCATGAGCTTTCTACAAAAGGGAGGACATTGGGAACACACAGAGGGGAGAGGACCAAACCTTCATACCAAGCACCTCAGCACAGGGAACCCACATGAAAACCAGAGGGGCATAATTTCATGAGTTCTTAGAATCAGTGAGACTTTAACCCTGGAACTTTAAAAATCAATAGCTAGGAAATAGGAAACTGAATCCCCACCCTTAGAGAACACAACAAACAGCCCCCAGGAGATACAGCAATAAAGCAGCACTTCCTTTTTTTTTTTTTAATTTTTTTTTAATTTATTTATGATAGTCACACACACACACACACACAGAGAGAGAGAGAGAGAGAGGCAGAGACACAGGCAGAGGGAGAAGCAGGCTCCATGCACCGGGAGCCCGACGTGGGATTCGATCCCGGGTCTCCAGGATCGCACCCTGGGCCAAAGGCAGGCGCTAAACTGCTGTGCCACCCAGGGATCCCTAAAGCAGCACTTCCAAAAACACCTGTGGTATACACGAAGGAGCTTTCTTCACTGATTTCAGAGCATGAGCAGAAGGGGCAGGAATCCTGGGGAGACTTCTCCAGAAACAAAGGAGCTGGTGGGTACCATCTCCCTGCCCAGATACATAGACACCAGACACACAGAAACAAGTTCAGTGCCAATACTTTCCATCTAGCTTGCTAACAGTATGCCTGGCTTCTCCTGTGGACACATCCCCTCCAGCCAGGCCCTGGTTCCAGGTCTCCCCCCATGGAGCAGATCCACATAAAACATTGCTAACAAGTTTTGATATAGTCCCAATAGTTGAACGCCACCTACGGCAGCGTTCTCCTGGGTCCTGCCCCATCCAACACATCCTTGGCTGAAGCCCATTCAAAGCAGTGCCACAAGCTTGGCAGGGTGCAAGCAGCCGTGATAGGGATTGGCACCTCTGCAAACTGACTCCTGCCCTGAGGAGAGCAGAAGATAACCACATACCAGTCAGACTCTTGGTTCCAGCAGTGGGCTGGAGTCAGAGAGCCACTCTAACTGTAGGCATCACCCACCAATAAAAGCTTCTTAGGGAACAAAACAAGGGAAGTGCCCAGCAGTCTGGTACTACTGCATCTCTGGCAAATTCCTAGTCTGATGTGACGCATGCCCAGGTCAGTCCCAACTGGCCCACTAAAAATACAAGAATCGAATGCTGCCCACAACATGCAGAGAGCCACTGCAGATGACTGGACTGAAAGAAAAAGTGGCTCAGCCACAACAGTAGGGTATATGCAACATGCAGAGATAGCCCTGAAGCACCAGGTTCTGGTGAACAGGGGACACTGCACTACAGGGCACTATAGGACCTCTTTTTCATAAGGCCACTGCTTTCAAGAGCAGAAGACATAGCTGACTTTTCTTAACATACAGAAATAAACATAGAGTTAGACAAAATGAGGAGAAAGAGGAGTATTTCCCCAGTGCAAGATCAGGTCAAAATCACAGCAAGAGACCTAAGCAAAATGGAAATAAGTAATATGCCTGATAGAGAATTTAAAATAATGACCATAAAGATACTCACTGGACTTAGAAAGCAAAAAAGAACCAATCAGAGATGAAGAACTCAGTAAGTGAAATTAAAAATACAGTAGATGGAATAAGCAGACTAGAGGAAGCACAAGATTGGCTCAGCAACTGGAAAAGAATAGTGGGAAGCAATTAAGCTCAACAGGAGAGAGGAAAAAAAATAATAAAAAATTAAAACAGACTTATGGAACTCAGCAACATCATCAAGTGTGGTAAACATTTGCATTATAGGGAATCCCAGAAGAGACGAGAGATAAGGGGCCAAAAAATTCATTTGAAGAATTCTTAGGGAACAAAACAAGGGAAGTGCCCAGCAGTCTGGTACTACTGCATCTCTGGCAAATTCCTAGTCTGATGTGAATTCTCAAATCTGGCGAAGAAAACAGAAATCCAGATCCAGGAGGCACTGAGAGCCCCCAACATTTGACAAATCTGAAAAATTCTCAAATCTGGCGAAGAAAACAGAAATCCAGATCCAGGAGGCACTGAGAGCCCCCAACAAAAACAACACAAGGACATGCACACCAAGACACAGTAATTAAAATAGCAAAACACAGTGATAAAGAGAGAATTTTAAAAATAGCAAGAGAAAAACAAGACTACTAGAATAAATGGATTTGATAAGGTCACAGGATATAAAATTAATATACAGAAATCTATTACATTCCTATACACTAATAATGAAGCAGCAGAAAGAGAAATTAAGAAAATAATCCCATTTACAACTGCATCAAAAAGAATAAAATACCTAGGAATAAACATAACTAAGGAAGTGAAAGACCTATACTCTGAAAACTATTTAACAATGATGAAAGAAATTGAAAATGACAGAAGCAAATGGAAAGGTATTCCACGCTCATGGATTAGAACAAATATTGTTAAAACGTCTATACTACCCAAAGCAATCTCCAGACTTAATGCAATCCCTATCAAAATACCAACAGCATTCTTCACAGGACTAGAACAAATAATCTTAAAATTTGTATAGAATCATAAAAGTCCCCAAGTAGGCAAAGTAATCTTGAAAAAGAAGAACAAAACTAGAGATATCACAATTCCAGATTTCAAGATATACTATAAAGCTGTAATATTCAAAGCAGCATGGTACCAACACTAAAATAATCACATGAATCAATGGAACAGAACAGAGAGCCCAGAAATAATTCCATGATCACATGGTGAATTAATCTTTGACAAAAGAAGAAAGAATATGCAATGGGAAAAAGTCTCTTTAACAAATGGTGCTAGGAAAACTGTTCAGCTACATGCCAAAGAATGAAACTGGACTACTTTCTTACACTGTACACAAAAATAAACTCAAAACGGATTAAGAAGTGGGGTGCCTGGGTGACTTAGGTGTTCAACTCTTGATTTTTGGCTCAGGTCAAGACCTCAGGGTTGTGTGGTCAAGCCCCAAGTCAGGATCCACATGGGATATGGAGCCTACTTAAGATTCTTTCTCTCCCCCATCTCCCAATCTCTAAAAAAAAGAAAAAAAAATGGACTTAGGACCTAAACAGGAGACCTGAAACCATAAACATGGTAGTGGAGCATGGGCAGTAATTTCTCTGACACTGGCAATAACCACATATTTCTAGATGTCTCTTGAGGCAAGGGAAACAAAAGCAAAAATCAACTATTGGGGCTATATCAAAATACAAAGCTTCTGCACAGCAAAGGAAACTGTCAAAAAACTAAAAGACAATCTACTGAATGGGAGACAATATTTACAAACGACATATTCAATAAAAGCTTAGTATTTAAAATATATAAAGTCCTAATGTAGCTCAATACCCCCCAAAAATAAATAATTCAATTTAAAAAAATGGACAGAAGATATGAATAGACATTTCTCCAATGAAGACATCTAGATGGTCAAGAGGCACATGAAAAGAAACTCAACATCACTCATCATCAGGGAAATGCAAATCAAAACCACAATGAGATACCACACCTCACACCTGTCAGAATGGCTAAAATCAAAAACCAAGAAATAACAGGTGTTGGTGAGGATGTGGAGAAATAGGAACCCTCTTGCACTGTTAGTGAGAATGCAAACGGGGGCAGCCACTGTGGAAAACAGTATGGAGGTTCCTCAAAAAGTTAAAAAAAGAAATATAATATGATCCAATAATTCCACTACTGGGTATTTACCCAAAAGTTATAAAAATACTAATTCAAAAAGATGCATGCATCCCTATATTTATTGCTGCATTACTTAAAATAGCCAAATTATGAAAGGAATGCAAGTGTCCATCGACAGATGAATGGATAAAGATGATGTGATATATAAACATAATGGAATATTACTCAGCCATAAAAACTAAAATCTTGCCATTTTGCAATAACATGGATGGATCTAGAGAGGAGTATAATGCTAAGTGAAATTAGTCAGAGAAAGATAAATACCATATGATTTCACTCGTATGTGGAATTTAAGAAACAAAACAAAGAAAAAGACAAACTAAAAAACAGACTCAACTATATAGAAAAAACTAATGGTTACTAGAGGGAAGGTGAGGGAGATGGGTGAAATAAGTGAAGGCGGTTAAGAATTCACTTATGATGAGCACTGACTAATGTACAGAATTACTGAATCATTATGTTGTATAGCTGACACTAATATAACATGGTATGTTACTTATAATGGAATTTTTTAAAATTTCAAAAAAAAGTTAATTGTGGCTTTGTAGTCGGCATGCTGCACGTGTCCATTATCTCTAGGCACACTAAAACTGTAATCGATGAAATTCACTAAAAGTTTCTGCCAATATTCTGTGCCTCGAAACAGTATAAATAATAGACACAGTCCTACAAATACTTAAGATTCCTTCGATCCTTTTTAGGAGGTTGGACCACTTGTCAAGGCATTAAATGTCAAGATTCAATTCAGTGGGAAAAACCCTGCAAATCAAATGCTTACCGTTCCAGTGAATGTGTCTGCCACTCTTGTAAAAGTAAATCTAAAAATTCAAAGCAGCGTCTAAAAAATGTAAAGAAAGAAATATGTTAACTCATTTTTATGTTAGTGAAAATAAAAGCTTTTTTTCTTCCCACGCTACTTTTCAGAACTGGTAAGTTTGTTCTAATCATTAAGATGCAAAAAATGGAAATTAAGATAGAATCAGCATTAACTGAAAACCCAACCAAGTAAAAGTAAGCATCTATGGTGATCAGAAAGAACAATTACAGACACATAGGAGACAAGATACAAAAGTCTCCCTCAAATCAGAAACTGAAGCCTCCTGGCAACATTACTGAAATGGCCTATCACTGTCATTTGTTTTTATACCACCTCAGATAATATGTTAATAAAGGAGGTACATGAGCAAAAAAGATCAGCATACGTTATTACAGAACCAGGGAATTAGTCTTTGCACTATTTTCACGGATTGCCTTATGAAAAACAGTTTAAAAATGGCCTAAAAAAGGGCTTTCCAAATTTTCCTAAGAAGGGCTCAGGTAGTGCTTAAAATAGATTTTTCTCTAACTACTCATCTATTGTCCTCTCTTTAATCTTTCAACATCCTTTCTTGTCGGGACTTTTCACTTTTGTCATCTTTCTTGGTCTGATTTGTGCACCAAAATAATTCTGGTCTCATCTCTTTTGGATAACATCACCACTTTGGGTTCTACCTCTCTAGAACTTTTCTGAAGTCCAGGGTATTTATCTTTTTGGGAGTAAACCTTAATAGTCTTAGGAACTCATTCAAGGAAACAAATCAGAAGGTAATTTTTCTCTAGTGACCAGACTTTCATTCCCATGGTCCTCCCAATTCAAAATCTCGTAATCCATAATTAATTACTCAATAAATCTTTAATAAACCCTAACCCAACCCTGGATGCTACAGATAACAATGGTAGCCAAGACATAAACCAGCAAGCGAGACAAGGAACAGTTCCCATGTGCCAGGAATACAAGGGGGCTCTTCTTAGAAGCACACAGGAGCCATTCAACCCAGGCCTACGGCTGGCAACCCATGTGCATGTGTACGCGTGTGCTGAGTGTTGGCTGTGAAGCATACTTTCCCTCAGGAAGGACACTGACTCACGCCCACATGGTCTCTTCTCTGTCACTCTCCCTACCCAAGCTCTAACCCAGGCCATGTTTATTCTATTTCTTCCCTGTTCTTCATGGCATTTCCTGGGCTGATTTTCTTGTCTCTTTTTCTTTTTTAATTTATATCTCTTAGTGAATAAAGTTATCTTTGGTGCTAATTTTGGTCTTAAGTCTCTGTTAGAACAATCTATTTAGTCAAAAATATGACCTGTAAGTTAGGTTTTATTTTCCACTTTTCAGACTAACATACAAAGAAAGAAGTAGTATCAATGTTGGCATTAACACATCAGTATTTAAACACATCAGGTTAGAACTTGTCTCTTTTCTTTACCTACTCCTACTCATCACTCAAAATGCAACTCAATTTTTCAATTTGTCTACGAAGCATTGTAGGAATATATTAGCTGCCTGTAATCACTGCTCTCTGAATTCCTAAGTCCCCAACACCAGTGTTGTAACTCACTCTTACCTTGCTTTGCATTATCGTTTTTAATCTCCCCATCTAAATGAGAAACTTCTCAGAGGCAAGGAGACTGTACAGTCCATTTCTTACAAATTTTACAAAGCAGAGCTAGGTACAGGCTGAGTGCATCACAGAAAGTGCACTGCCTAGGTTACACCGACCTCTTTAGTTCTCTTTACCTTTCTCAAGGCAGAGGGACTGGATGTCCCTATTACTTCTTCCAGCATTAAGACACATGGTTCTGACTGATGCACACACTCTAATGTAAGAAGAGCAATCCTAGCGTGTGACTGAGAGAGCAGTGAAGGGGATGACATTTCTATTGTCACAGTGATTGTAGGTTACCAGTCATTTAGCATCAGAAGCCAGAATTTTTAAATTCTGTGGCTGAACAATGTTGCCCCAAAATTCATACACTGAAGCCCTAATGCCCCCCAAAAATTCATATACTGAAGCCCTAATGCCCTTTACATAGACATAAAGGAGATAGGACCTTCAGGAGGTAATCAGGTTCAAATGAGGTCATGAAAATGGGGCTCTAATAATGGGGCTGGCGGTGCCCTTCTAAGAAAAAACCCCAGATAGCATGTTCTCTCTCTCTCTGCCTTGTGAAGACACAGCAACGAGGCAGCCACCTGCAAATGGAACTCATTAGAACTCAACCATGGTAGCACTGCAACCTCAGATTTCCAGCTTCCAGAACTGTGAGAAAATCAATTTCTGTTGTTTAAGCCAGCCAGCATACGGTATTTTGTTACAGCAGCCTGAGCTGACTGATTACACTAGACATCCTGTAACATACTACAACAAAGATCCATGTCACTTCATCAGAGGAACTTGGCCTAGCACACTCTGAATTTCTCTCAGAAAACCAAAAACAATAGTGACAATAATAGCAAAAGCAGCAACATACTCTAATAATGGGTACCATTTATTAAGGCTACATGAAGTGCCAAACCACTTTACCCCAATGACTGAGCCCATGGAACAACTCTGCCCCAGGAATAATGAGAATACTCATAGGTTAGACTATTAGTCAATGGGAAGAGGTAATGCTTCACCCTGCAGTCTACTGGGTTCTGAAATTCACTAACATCCTCTCCCCTGCTGAATTTACTCTGAACTCTAGAAGGCGAAGCTGAACTGTGGGTAAAGGGTAGATTGCATTCCTCAGAGAAATACAGGAGGCCATGCAGTTAGAGATTAAACTTCTTCAGTGGAAGATGTCAATTCCTTTCTTCTTGGCTTCATAAAGGTAGATGATTCCCCTTTCCTCCTTTAGGACTTCCACAGAGCTGTTGACAAGATGGATAGGCGGCCACCTTAGGCCTGTAGCAGGCACCCCGCCCATGGAAATGTGGCAAGACCTATGTGATATCCCAGGGAAGGAGGGAAATGATGGGCAGTGAATTTAAGCCAGGCTCCAAGCCTAGAGTGAAGGGCTCTTTCACTGGACTAGGATCAGACAATGAACTCCAGGAATGTAGTCAAGAGGCTGCTGCTCAGGCCGGCCATTAATTTACCCTATGAAACTCCTACTATGATGATCCACTGAGAGGCTTCAACAGAGTCCATAAATCCCCTTAAAATCTACACAAAACTATTCTGCATATTTACATTTTCTTGGCAAGAGATGCCACAGGTTTTATTATACTCTCAAGAGTCAAGAACCACAGATTCCAGCTAGAAGAAGCCTTATTTGTCACATGTGATCTAGGGCAGCTCATCCGGACCCAAAACCAGCCACGGATCTGGAACAAAGACCTAGCTAACTAACCAGGTGGTATCTCCTGGATACATCTCCCACAATTGCGCAGCAAAAGCACATATTGGACAGGATTCAAAATCCCAGAAATCACTGTCAGAAGAGGGAACAACATATACCTCCTTCTACCTACAGTAATATTAAATAGATGTAATCAATTTTTATAATGTTCTTTTTCTTGCATGCAGTTACCACTTTCATTCAGAGAAGGAGTACACCGATGATTTAGGTTAGAGGGACTATCTGGAAAAAAATGTATACTCCCTTCCATTAACTCACATACATACATATGCACATTCTCTCTCTCTCTCTCCTTTTCTCTCTTGTTCTCTCTCTCTCTCACACACACATACAATTAATAGAGGTTGTCCAAATTTATTTTCCAGACTATTTAGATCAAGATCCTTCAAACCAAAGACCTTTATTGCAATAATTTAAAATAATTTTAACATTTCAAACATGAATTTGTTTCCATGGATACAAATTCTGGAATTTATTTTGATTTTTAACAATTTAAAAACAATGAGGAAACTTTAAAAATTTACCTTCTAACTGCAACAGACTTAGAGGTACAGTTGCTTGTTATGACAGGTATTAGCCTAGGGATGTGTGTGTGCTGCAGAGAACAACAAAAACAGAGGTGAACACTTGAAAATACAAAAATAAAATAAAACTAAGACAACCATATTTCCTCATTAAGCCACCTAAAGCACATATATATTTAGATTAGAACTTCACAGAGCTTAAAAAGGAAAAAGAATTTCATTGGATATTGCCAAAGGCCATGACAAATTTACAGAGCCTCAACAGACCACCCAATGATATATAAATAAATCCAACAAACCATTGGTGGGAAGTCTAAACTATCTGGCAATGGGGATCTAACTGAGTTCAAAAGGGATCTGAAGACCAATGTTTTGATACTGTTTCAATGGGAATGTCCAACAATGGCTTTGGATTTAATATTTCAAGTAGGTGGTGCAAATAGTAGGGGCTAAAAATAATACAACTAAGTGACCCACAATAACCAGGAATATTCTGGAAAGATTTTAGCATCATCAAGTCCCAGTCTCAAGGGTTGCCTCTAGGGAAAAGAGACTCGCAAGTGAGAAGAAGGTGATGTGGAGAACATTCATTTTTAGCTTTTGTGCATTATTAGGTTTTATTGAAAACTTGTCTGTAAATTACTTGGATAGTTATTTACATAAATCAGTGTTTAGAACACCGAAAAGAACCTTTGGTTTATGGGCTTAAACACAATTAACTAAATAAAAACTTAAGGTGAATAACAAAGCCACAAGCACAAATAGCTAAAATGTAATGACTGGGAATTAAGGAGTAATATCTGGAGACAAAAAGAACTACGTAGAAACCCAGAAGCAGATGCAGATGTTCAAATATTTAAAGCCAATGATGAGTAAATGATCAACACATCAGTAGGCATACACCATATCCATAATTCACATCACAAAATGTAAAAGGCTCATATAGGATATAATTAAGGAGGGGGGAAGCTGATTTGTATCTACAATATGATTCTAACTATATGAAATCATGCTAATGAAAAATGCCTCCAATGTCACTTATCAACCACCAACATTCGCCACTTGCTTATTCTATGTATGGCCCCAAAATATACTTACCCGAATGATTAACCTAACAGCTACAACACCAGAAGTGGCCATAATTTTGGCACTATTTGGAATTAAATTAAAGATGGTTGGCATAATGGCTTCAGCTCCATGGTCAAACTTATTTCCCAGAACTGATGACAGATGCCTACGATAAGAAAGGAAAACTGCACTGTAGCTGTATTTCTTGCAAACAGTGAAGCATATAAACTTCAACATTGCAGGGCTTTTGATTAAAGTTATCTAGAGATAAAGGTAACAGTCTAAGATACTTTAAAAATACTTCCAATGTGCACAAAGTGGACTTGGGAAATAGCCATTGGCCCACAAGTTTGGTTCTTTTATTTTTTAAATAAATCATTTCCAACTAATGAGTCTGAAAATAGCAAAAGACAAACTGATCATACACAAAATATAAATGAGAAAGCTCCCTCACCCTTTCCCTCCTCTTGCCCCATTAAAAAACCTTTAACACATAATATAAATGCTTCCATATCTGACACTTTCAACAGCTGCAGTTTCTCCTTCCTATTGCTGTTTTGATATTCTGACACACTTTCAAACACAGAAGTTCCAGCTTCAAACACTGATAACAGGTTTAGCTAGTGTAAAATTATAGCCTTTGACTTTAACTTTATAGCTACAGTACTCTTCTGGAAACAAACAAAAATTCTGATCATCATGATATATCCAGGCAGCAAAACTCCATGAAAAAGCTGAGAAACAAAAATTTGCAAAATTTCTTTTTTCTGTATTATTGTAACAACTGCTTCAAGTTTAAAATAAAGGCTTCAGGGCAGCCCAGGTGGCTCAGCAGTTTAGCGCCGCCTTCAGCCCAGGGCCTGATCCTGGAGATCCAGGATCAAGTCCCACGTCGGGCTCCCTGCATGGAGCCTGCTTCTCCCTCTGCCTGTGTCTCTGCGCCTCTCCCTCTCTCTCTCTCTCTTTGTGTCTCTAATGAATAAATAAATAAAATCTTTAAAAAATAAATAAAATAAAGGCTTCAGAGCTAAGTCACTGAATAAAATTGAAAATCTGTCACTTTTACATCAGTGGGCAGGAAATACTGTAATACTATAAAAGTACCAACAAACATATAAATGGAATTGGTCCTGGACACTAGTCAGAAGGTACATTAAAGAGACTTGCTGGGCATATTCAATGAACCATCTCTGAAGCACTGCAACGAGACTATTTTACGATGTGTGAGAATGTGAAGCATGGCAGTCCTTACCCCAGCGTGATACAAGCCTCCCGCACTACCTGAGACCGCAGGTCCTTAGCAGATAATTTAAAGGCTCCATCCAGAAGACGCAAATGTTGAAAGAAGTTATCATACTCAGCAGCACCAGCCAAAAGTAAAGATCTAATCTTTTTAAGCTGACGGGACAAAAAAAATTAAGAGATACACAAAACAATTTTTAAAACCATAAATATAAAAACAACAAAAACTATCAAACAAGAGACAAAGTTAACTGATATAAAAGGTTTTCCCAAAAGAATTCAGCCAATTCAGCATCAGCTACCATACTCACAAAGAACAGATTATTTTAAAATACAGTATCTTACAATTCTACAACTAATTCCAACTGCCATTTGTTTAATGAATCAAAGAAAGGAGCAATCCTATATAGTCTTTTATATAGTATCCTCCACTGTATCCTTACTAAAAGACTAGTCTGAGTTTAAATGGAATATAGCAGTAATTTTATCACCTCACTTCCTGCCAGCTGACCACTGGAAAATAGCTTTCCTCAGATAAGACACACTCTCATTTCAATGTTCACCCCACTTTTCATTAATCCACTTTTTAAAATAGAAGGGACAGAACTTTCCAGCATATAATATGAAGAAAGAAAGGAAGAGAGGGACACACACTGAGAAAAGTCAATTCAGGGGCGCCTGGGTGGCTCAGTCACATAAGCATATATATGTCTTCAGGTTAGGTCATGATCCCAGGGTCCTAAGACTGAGCCTCACATTGGTTTCCCCACTCTGCTGGGAGCCTCCTTCTTCCTCTGCCTCTGCTGCTCCCCCATGCTTGTGCATGTTCTCCCTCCCCACCCCATCAAATAAACAAATAAAATCTTTAAAAAAGAAGTATGGTACTCTACTAAAAGGGTTAAGTATAAATACAGTAATTTATATATAAAATACTACTTATAATTCATCAGAGCTATACTCCAATTGCATAATTATTTAGAACATTTAAATAAATCTAATGAAAATATAATCACATGAAGTCAACAGCTTACAGCATTTACTCTTTGCTCCCAATCATGCTTGTCATCAGATAATATTTCCCTAATCTTGTTTATGGATTCCTCAAGGTCTCGGCTGGAATAAATCTGTAAGCAAAGTTAATTTATAACCAATGTAAGGAATTTTATAGAATAAACAAAGAGTAGTTTTTAATCAAAGTCAAGAGCATTAAGTATACTTTAAAAGAAATTATTTCATTTTTCAGAAGGACCTACAAGATAACATCTAAGCAGATTTGTCTTAGAATGAGCTTCCTTCCATTATGAATATATACTCCCTAGATTTCATACCAAATATGGATAACCCTGCTTCAAACACAGCTTTACTATAAACTTCACAGATGATTTCATGTACAGAAGAGAAGGAAGCCAGCGGGGGAACTGTCAGTGATGCATAAGTCATTTATTACTCTTAGTATTATTTGTAACACCACATTATACACATAACTTGAACACTCTCTTCCAATCTCCTTTCTCATTTATGCATACACCTGACTAATAAGATAGGCAGGGGAATAATCAGCCAAGAATGATGTAAACTGGGAAGGTCAAGGACTTAAGGATGAACCTGAGCCTATGATGCCGGTTACATGATTTATACACATATGGCAACCAAGCAGCAGGTGGCAAGTGATCGCACAGACATTAATTAGTGCTGTAGGAATCCAGAGCACCACATTCAGTGCAGGCTGAGGAAAGGTGTCATAAGCCCCCAGCTAACAACAGATGACATTGAGGCACAAAAGCAGTTAAAATGTGTGTACCCCAATCTTACAAGCAATGTCTGCTTCATCTGTTAGGGACTTAAGTGAAGCATCACAACAACATAGGCTTGGACTTTTATTAATCTGCTCTTTATAGTTTTGCAGACACCCAGTTCCTTGAAATTTACAAATAATCCTAAAAAAGGCAAGTCCCTAAATAAGCATGATTCTTTGTTCTCACACCTAAATCTATCATTGCTTTCTCTCATTTACCTGACTTAACCCACAAATTTATTATTAGAGCAACAAGCAACTTCTCTCCAGTTCGTATTCAAAGATCACTTTGGGTCTTGACTTTCGCTCTTCATTTCAGCTATAAAAGGCACCAATGTTTTCTAGTCTGCAACAGCAGATCTCTTGTAGTCTCTGAGTTAAAAATCGCCTCATCTAGGAAGGGACTTCACATATCACCTATTTGAAAACTGAAAATTGAAGAGTATGTCTTAGCTGTTTTTAATCACACTCAAATATCCTCACTCACCTGCACTACAGGTACATCATCAAATGCTTTAATAAAGTCCTCCTCATCAACAGCACCCGCTCCTTCTTTTGCAGCTATAAAAAAAGATTGATTTTTTAAATGCGAACAATGTAAACAGGGGTAATCTGAATATAAACAATCATTACATCTTAGAAGATTTGTATCTATTTTTCTAAAGGCTTAATGAAAATTTAGTGTTGTGGAACTGATAAAACATTACTAGCTTTTAATATCAAGGTGAAATGTAGTAATTCTATGATACTATATACATTAGCGTAGTCATTTAAAGGGGCCGACTACTTGTTAAGGAAGACTTTTAACCTCTATAAGATATAGATAGTTTATATTATAGTCATGTCTGAATCTTTTGAAAGGCTCCTAATAAACAGATATATAACAAAATTTAATCCTTCAGGGCATAAATTAGGCTATGTTATTGTTAGGCAGCTAGCATAACAAATTTGTGAAATATTCAAGTAAATTCTAAAGAATTTAAGTTTCATTTCAACTTTGTATTAATCTCAAAACATTTCCATTTCCCTTAATGCATGATAACTCAATTTTTCACATATACATCAGTAGCAATTTTACCTCAAAGATGTTGTAAGATGCTCTGTATACTTAGAAGTTGATTGCTATCATTTGAGAGAGTTTTTTCTTTTGCTAATATATGAACTCTACTTCACACATGAAAATCATGTGACTTATCAGGCTTTTTTTTTTTTTTAATTTTCTCCAAAATAAAAGTTTCAAAATTGGAGTCTACGGTCATCTTGTAAGCCTCATTAAGGATTTTCACTGATTAGTTTGAATGCTTTTCTAGGGTTACCTTGCAGACAAGTTATTTTGTGTCTGAGGTCCCCATGGATGATTCCATGATTCTGGGAGCAAGAAATGTATGTCCTTAACTTTTGATGAAGATTCCCCAAACTGAGTTCACAAGCTAACTGCAGAGACATGACAGTAATGCCATACTGTGATGTAATGCTCAATGTCTATTTTGGTGTAAAGACTGGATCCTCCCAAGCAGACAGGTCCTGAGCAACGCCCTGGACAAGTGTCACACCACGTACCCACGTACTAAAGGGGACTCGGAGACCAACATGGTCTGCAAGCCCCAGAATCAGACAAGGAGGAGTCAATAAGCCAATTTATAACCATGTTGTTTTAAAAAAAAAAAAATTGGAAAAAAAGGTTAGGGCAAGGCTGAGCTCTCTATAAAACCTAGAGATAGGACTTTTGGAAGGGGTATGAGTAAGGGACAGGAAGGGAAAAAAAGCAGTCTGATGATGTAGAAATCTTCTAAGCCTTGTTTGTGGAACTGATGCCTTCCAAGGATAGATTTTCTTAATGAAAGATTAGAAAGGTTTTTCAGTCATAGAGAGGAAAGAAGTGCTGATACATGCTACAACACAGATAAAAGCATTATGCTTAGTGAAAGAAGCCAGACACAAAAGATCACATGCTACATGACTCCATTTCTATGAAATATCTAGGGTGGGCAAAAGCACAGAAGCACAATGCAGACTGCTGCCAGGGGCTGGGGGAAGGAAGACACGGGGAGCAACTGTCTAAAGGATCCGGGGCTTCCTTTTGGGAGCGGAGAAGCTCTTCTGAACTAGACAGAGGTGGTGGTTGCACAACACTGAATATACTAAATGCAACTGGACTAATACCTTCAAAATAGTTAACTTGATGCTTTGTGAATTTACACTCAAAGACAACCTTTTTAATACATTGAAAAATAAAAAAGATAGAAAGGGCCAACAATACCAACAAACACACAGCTTTTCCTTCTGCCATCCCTGCTGTAAACATCCCTGTCAACCATAAACACAGCTATTTTAACATGGACAGAGAAGCTGGGTGCAAAGGTACTGCAGGGGCATCGAGTTGACCGAGGCCAAAACCCCAACATTCTAAGGCCAGCAAAGAAGGCCAGAAAGACCATCAGGAGACAGCATTTTAATGTCAATCCTTTCCCCAGTTTTAACTCTGTTCATCCAGCCAACTTCAAAAGCCCAATGCTAACAATAAGAACAGTTCTAAAAACAATTGTCTAAAGACAATTTGAAGTAAAAAGAAAGTTGCATGTTGATTTCAAATGTGACAGGAAAATGCAAGTTATATATAATAAGGGCTCAAATTGTCTAAATTAGAGGATGGCAGAGGAAGGACTTAGAGGAAGTCATCTTTGTAAATCAATGTTCAAAAAGCTTTGGGGAGCTAATCCCTACCGTTTTCTTATAACTTAGGTCAACATTCACACAGGTCTCACAAGGAATAATGCTATTTGTAGGAACAAAATACATTTTAAAGACAGAAGGGGGATCCCTGGGTGGCGCAGCGGTTTGGCGCCTGCCTTTGGCCCAGGGCGCGATCCTGGAGACCCGGGATCGAATCCCACATCGGGCTCCCAGTGCATGGAGCCTGCTTCTCCCTCTGCCTATGTCTCTGCCTCTCTCTCTGTCTGTGACTATCATAAATAAATAAAAATTAAAAAAAAAAAAGGCCCCATGGTAATTTCAAGCATGGCTGGAGCCCCATAACGGAATAAAGCCATAAGGGCACACTCCTGCTCTGTCTCCAAGCTCTGCTCGCCTCTGCCCTGGCCATATTCTCCCATGGACTCCCCCAAGCCCCGTACCAAAACATGGCAACACAACAGCTCAAATTTCTACTGTCAGCTATTAGCATGAATAGCACAGTACTAATTTAAAGAACAGCAAGCAAAAACATATTGCAAACAGGATCATTCCACTCCTGAAGGACACAGAAGACAAACATGCACATGCACATCTGGTTTTAAAAGCTGGCAAAGCCGATCCCACAGCACCCCACGGAGGTTCATCTTACCTGAAGACTTGGATCCAAGGGTGGATGATCCAAGCCGGCGGGTGGTCCCCATTCCAACGTTTCTCCGTGAGCTGGGTGGAGCTTTGGATGATGTAGAACTAGCAGAGGAAGGTCTATTACCATCCACAGAATCTTCATCATCAAAATTTTTATCTGAAGCAAAAGTAGAGAAATCAATGTTTAAAAAAAAGGGGGAGTACTTTTCCACCTGAATGTAGAACAACAAAGTAGTCATAGAGGGGTGAATGATGTGCCTACTCTTGAGACTTGAAGTGCCAGGTCAGGGTCTAAAAAGGTCTTAGGTAAATCCAAAATGCAGATACAAACATCATGTTTGCTCTCACATATCTAGAATGCTCTCCTGCTCTAATTTTGGAAAAAAGAGAAGACACAAAGAAGAAAACAATCTCTTATAAAAGCACCACCTAAGAACAGTTACTTTAACATTTTGGCATTATTTCTGACCATCCTTCCATGCATTTTTAAATAACAGTTGACATGAGGCTACCTATCATTTGGTACTTTGCTTATTTCAAATATGTGCATTTTTCCATGTGGTTTCCAATATACTTCATAAACACCATTTTAATGGTTGCACAGTACTCTGCAATGAGAAAATGCCACAACTGAAACAACAACTATTGTTAGGCCTTTGAGGTCATTCTAATAGGTCACCATTAGAAATAACATTGCAACAAACACCTTCCTATATGCATTTTTGTTTAAATCTCTAACAATTTTAAGAAAGAAAAAAAAACAAAAGAAAACAAACCAACACCACCCTGGAAGCAATACCTACTGGGTCAAATAGTATAAAAGATTTTAATATCTACTGCCAAACTTATTTTCAGAAAAGTAAAGTTCTTTTTTTCTGAAGTTCAAAGAAGTACCCATGTTGTCACACACCTGCCAACACTAAGTATTACCATTTTTAAATGTCAATCAATTTGACAGATGAAAAAAATGCTTCCTCTTCAATGTCTCGTTTCTCTTTTAGTGGGATCGAGCATGTTTCTTCAGTTCATTAACTTCTAAACTTTCTAAGCATCAATGGATCCAATGAATAGTCCAAGGAAAACTGAAATATTCATTTAAAATTTAAAAGAAAAAAGAGGTGCTCCTGGGTGGTTCAGTTGATTAAATGTCTGCCTTCGGCTGGGGGGTCATGATCCCAGGGTCCTAGGATCAAACCCTGAGTTGGGCTCCCTGCTCCCCACCCCTATCATCACCCCCGGGGTTGTGTTTACTCACTCTGTCAAATAAATAAATAAATAAATAAATAAATAGGAAAAACAATTAAAATTTTTTTTAATCTTTGGGTTTTTAAACATCAACATATTTAGAAACAACATTTGGATGACACAAAGTTAAAGCTATCATGGTGCATTATATAGAGTACCATGGCCTTACACAGTATCTGCGAGTCATTCAGGAGGCTAAACAAAGGACCTAAGGGTTATTGAAAAAAGAAAAACCAAGCAAGCAAGCAAACATCTGTAGCTGGCAATATTCATGATTTCTGAATAAAGATGCTAGATCTCTACCAATACATCTGAAGTAAAATAACTGTTGACCAGAAAACTGTATAAACAGCAGCCTGTTTCCTTGATTTGGTTGCTTCTTGGCTCAGCTATCAACAGCCAAGTCTCCTATCTACTCAGGAACCTCCCAACTACCAACAATCCACTTCAAACTACATGATGTTTTTAATTCAACGCTGGTGGGGGGGGGGGGTATGACCCATCCTTCTACATGCATATCCTTATGTAAATTAGCTTCCTCCAACGTGTCTTTGTATTTTCCAGATCGCCTTATCAAGCAATCCTCTTACAGACACTTTTTTCAGTCCGCACATCAACTCTGCGCTGATCCATAAGTTCAGTGGTCTCCTGGCACAGACTTCCTATGTGGATTCAAAAGGTGACTCTTGAACTGCAAATACATTAACAAGGCTCTTCCCAAGAGTAACACTGCATCTCATATTAAGGATAGGAACAACCCCAATGAAAAGGAACCAGTGAGCACTAGCAGATGATTAGCAGTGGGCATTAGCAGAGACAAGTGAGCATTAGCAGAGACAAGGACTGCTCTCAGCCCACCTGCCCTCAGGGGAGTGCTAATCATCATTCTTGTCAGAACAGTAACAGTTCCAGTCTGTGGGAAAGGTACAGAATGAAAAGGACAAGTGAGGACACTACTATGCTTCACTCAGAAATTTATGTAAAGTCTGTTTAGTTTTTTTTCTAACATGGGCAGGCACGGCATGGAGAACTGCATTCACTTAGTGAAAATTATTTTCAATGGGCCAATGTCACCAGATTTCCTGAGGTTTCTACCGCAACAAGGATGATGAGTATCCAGGACCAGCCAGACACTACCACTGTCAGCAAACAGCTAGAAACCAGAGTCTGTAAAACAACTATCTCAGATGAGACAACAGACAGTGCAGAACTGTGAGCCATGAGAGGGAGAAATAGGGTGAGTTATAGTCACCCAGCTTCCTCCCTGGACACAATTTCCAGGTTACCAAGTACTGGGAAGGGGACCCCAAAATGAACCTTGGAAGCCTTGCTAAGTGGAAAAAATGAAGATCAGACTTCAAGGGGACAGAGGGCCCTGGAAGGTACAGGCAGAGTGCTGGGAAAGAAGATGCTGCACAAAAAGGGAAAGAGACCTCTAGAAATGAACTGAGTTCTAGGCCATGCATTGCAGGAGTGAAATTCCACACCCAAGGTAGGGTGAAAAATGACCAGGAGGTTGCAGGCTGAAGAAATCCCAATGTGTGCACAAAGTAGGAATGTGTTCATGCACCAGAGCAGAATGCCCTTGGAGACTCACCCCAGGCATTCAGTGAGACCCTGAGAGGGCAGGCCTTAATGGAAGGGCTGAACCATTTTATGCAGGGAAGGTTATAGTAAACCTGCCATTAAAAACAGACCTCTAGGGTATTAGAATAGACCTGCAAGTAACTAAAGGCTCTGCCAAGCAAAGCATAACATAACAAAAGGCAGATACCTGACAATGTAACTAACATTTCCAACACACACTTAATACAGATAAGTAAGTGGAATAGAGACTCAGAGACCTGTAGGACAGTATCAGAAAGAAAAGAAGATATCACTTACAAAAGAAAATGACAAGCTTCATCAGAAACCATATGTGTCAGAAGACAATGGAACAGAATCTTGAAAACAGTTGACGGGAACATATTACCTAGAATTCTATATCCACCAAAAATATCTTCTAAAAATAACAGTTAAAGAAAAACATATTCAGACAAACCAAAAAAGAATTCTTCACCAGGAGACCTGCACTCCCAAGAAATGTGCAAGGAAAATATTCCTGCAAAAGGAAAATGATACCAAGTGGAAACTTGGATTTACATAACAAAATAATGAACAGCACTAGAGATAGTAAATAGATGAATAAAGATAAGACTTTCTCATCAGATTATAATTTTATAACTTACTGTTTAAGGCAAAAATAAAACCCTCGACATTTAGTTTTCATTCTTTTTAGAGTCTCATGTCACAGGCAGATGACCTGGAAGCCAGGCAAAGGACCCTGGTCGGCGTATGGACATGGTGGTATTTAGAATACATGCTGTAGTATGAGATGCCACACAAAAACTGGGGAAGCATGAAAAAAACGGTAGCAGTTTAGATTCTGCCCTAAAGGAGGTTATATTTTGTAAAAGTTAATTTTAACTTGGATAAGCATACTCAAGATGTCATATAATAGTGTACTCCCTGAGAAGGGAGGAGTCTTACCACAAATTTCTGTATGAAAACGCCTTCCGAGGAAGGGGAGGGGAGAAAAGGAACACTGGGCAGTCAGTGTTAAGTTTTTTGGTTTTTTTTTTTTTTTTAAGATTTTATTTATGGGGCACATGGGTGGCTCAGCGGTTGAGCCGCAGGTAGCCTGCTTCTCCCTCTGCCTGTCTCTGCCTCTGTGTGTCTCTCATGATTAAATAAAATCTTAAAAAAAAAAAAAAGATTTTATGTATTTATTTGACACAGAGAGAGCACAAGCAAGGGGGCAGTAGGCAGAGGGAGAGAGAAAAGCAGCCCCCCCGCTGAGCAGGGAGTCCAATGTGGGGCTCAATCCCAGAACCCCAAAATCATGACCTGAGCTGTCTGCAGATGCTTAACTGACTGAGCCACCCAGGCACCCCTACTGTTAGATTTTTCTTAAAACATAAGCTTTAAGGGCACCGAGGTGGCATAGTGGATTATGCATCTGCCTTTGACTAATGTCATGACCCCAGGTTTCTGGGATTGAGCCCCACAGTGGGCTCCCTGCTCAGTAAAGACTCTGCTTCTCCCTCTGCCCTTCCCCACCCGTTCGTGCTCTCTCTCACTCGGTTCTCTCAAATAAATAAATAAAATATTTTTAAAAAATAAAAAATAGGGATCCCTGGGTGGCGCAGCGGTTTGGCGCCTGCCTTTGGCCCGGGGCGCGATCCTGGAGACCCAGGATCGAATCCCACGTCGGGCTCCTGGTGCATGGAGCCTGCTTCTCCCTCTGCCTGTGTCTCTGCCTCTCTGCCTCTCTCTCTCTCTCTCTCTCTCTCTCTCTCTCTCTCACTGTGTGCCTATCATAAATTAATAAAAATTTAAAAAAATAAAAAATAAAAATGAGCTCTAAGAGTCTCACTCATCAGTCTTTTCATTTACACCCCTTGGAAACAAATCTAGCAGGTTTACTTAATGTTTTTTCTAACCGGATTAGAAGCAACTAAATATAGGAAGGGGGTATGAGGTGTGTAGGAGTAAAGCACAATGATATTAATGACAAGTGACAGTTGAAAGCCTGATAGCTAAACAGAAAGTAAAAGCAAACATATATATAGAAAAACCCCTAGGGATGCCTGAGTGGCTCAGTGGTTGAGCATCTGCCTTTGGCTCAGGGCGTGATCCCAGGTCCTGGGATCGAGTCCCACGTCAGGCTCCCTGCAGGGAGCCTGCTTTTCCTCTGCCTGTGTCTCTGCCTCTCTCTCTGTATCTCTCATGAATAAATAAAATATTTTTAAAAAGAAAAGAAAAACCCCCAAAACCCCAAATTGCTCTGAATGCCAGTGCCTGTACAGAGGTCGAGTCACAGTTATATAGTCCAATAGGCACAACAGCAGATGCTCCCAACCACAAGCCTGT